GTTTGAGAAAGCATGGATTGGACACAATGAAATCAGGAAAGCTTTCTGTTCTAATACTCTGGGGTGCAAAAAGATCAATAGCTTCTTCCTGCTTCTTCCTTATAGATCCTGATTCTGTTCAGATATGGGAGATCTACCACAGCCTGAGTACTTCAAGGGAGGAGGATTCCTACAAGTCTGGCAGACTCTCCCTCCCATCAAATATGGACAACAAGCATCATGGTGACGAGGACCATTGTGACACTCCCGTGACTGAGGTGAAATAAACCTTTGCCCTGAGCTAATGCTGACCCGGGAGTGAAAGAACTCAGACTTGTGTCAATGTATTGAGCTCAGCATCCAACAACGCTGTCACCCTCTCTCTGTCTGAGCTTCAATAAATACGAGCCAATAAATCCACTGCTGGAGCAATTTGGAGCTGACTTCTCTGTTACTTGAAACTGAAGTCCACCTAGATAATCCATCTTCTTTAAGTTTAAACTCTCATTCAAGATCTTAATTCATCCCTCAATTTTCGGGATCTTTTATTAGTTTCTTGGCCATTTACCTTGTCTTTCTTTATTCTATTCTTTTAGCTTTATGAGCCTCAGATGACTTAGTACCTATTCGTTTGCCATTTTTTTAAAAAAATCATTTCTCTTTTCTACTCTTGGTCTACAGAAAATGGGCATTCGAAGCACTGAAGTATGTGGATAACATGCATACCCCAGTTCTTGTTCATACTCTAGAAATATGTCACCCAATGACCAAAAGAGAGGAAGTGTCCTACAGTCACTCATTTCTAAAATCCAGTTGTCTATGGGAGATACTGACAATATCCCATTTCCAGAGGCTCGAAGGACTTCTTTAATCTTGATGCTCATGGAATGAGAAAAAGTTTCAAGTGGCTTAGAGAGCTAGCTTCTCTACCTTGGGAAGCCAATTTTATAGGCACTCAAAGGAAGGAATCAATTTCTTTTTCTGTCTTAATGTCTCAGAGTTCTTTCATATGTAGCCTGTTAAGTTTTACAAAAAGCAGTAATGGAGATTATTGTTATTATTATTATTCAATCTCCTTATTACAGTTGGTACATCCAAAGCTTTCCCTTAAGGCCAATCAAGCCTATATAAAAGCCAAAGCCATCTTTAACCCTTTATCTGTCCTCCTGGTAACTTATTAAGACTTTTGCAGTCCTGTTAGGTGGTGACCTTGGTGAGCATCTGGTGGCTTTCTCAGGTTCTGGCTTTGTGGGTTTATGGCTTCAGTCTCTCCATGATTCCCCTTGGGAGGCAACGATAAAGCACAGCTGCCTCCCATCCCCAGGCCTGTAGCAAACACAAGATCCCTGAATCAATGGCTGCTTCCTACCACTATTGCCCTAGTTTGATCTCCCTGACATATTTGGGTGGTCTTTGTGGTCCCCACATGTGGAATTATAGCCTTGGTGATAGCTGCCAACATCGTAGATCTTTAAAATGTATTAGATTGTTGTTACCCACAGCCTTCTTTCATTGCTGAATATTTCGTTTTTTTCTTTTTTCTTTCCAAGTAATCCATCTCTACTCTTACTGGAAAGTGACACTGTGCCAAAGAAAGATATCAGAAGTACCCTCTCAGGTCAAGCTTGAGGTACAAGGAACTGCAGCACTTTGGATTCACATTGCCAACATCTATACTTCTGGAAATTATATTTACAGGACAACAGCTACATAAATTCCAGATGATCCAGTCCCAAAATACAACCCAATTCTTTAGAGTCAGCATGTGCAACATGTCATTCTTGTTACTGAAGTCACTATGCTTGGGGGTAGAGCTAAGTTGGTAGAGTGCTTGCCTACCATGCATGAGGGCCTGACCAGTACTACATAAACTGGGAGTGGTGCCTCATCCCAGCACTCCGAAGGGAAAAGCAGAGGGTAAACATTCAAAGTCATCCCTGACCGCATAGTTTGAGGCCAGGCTGGACTACATGCGACCCTGTCTGAAGGGAAATAGTGATCTGCATTATCATGACTCCCATAAACTGAGGGAAAGAAATAGACACACTTATTTGATGTTGCTTACACACCGGAATTTTTGTGCTTATGAATGTATGTATTCATCACAAAAGCTCCCTAGTGAAGGGCACTGGAAACCATTTCCCTCGCTCTTCATGGTGACAAGTGACATGGTGACCTACAGAGAGGTTGATGGTGCTTTCTCTCAGGAATAACTTAGTAGAGACTTGAGCCTGGTCTTGTACCAGTTCCCTCACATGTGTTCTATCCACAAAGTACAAATTGTCTGTCATAGTTCTGGGGAGGCCAAAAATCCAAACTCAAAGTGTCCAGAGGGCCAGAGTCCTTGCAAGGATGTGGGGAAGAAACTAGCTTGTGTATTTTGGCTAGTGGATGTGCTTGGTATTTCTACCTCTGCTTGTGACAGCATAACACAGAACCCAGTCATTCTCTTCACAAAGCTTTCCTCGTGGATCTTTAGATCCACTTCCATTTCTCCAAGGATGAATATCAGCATCAAGTTTAATCTAGCAGGATCCCACAGTCAGTTTCTTAAACAAAGCTGTCGAGTCTTCCTCTAAACCAGATAGTATTTCAAAGTTCTCGACAAACACTGATTCTAAGATGGTCCAACTACTCAAGCCCCTACAGAAGACGGGAATATTCTGCAGATCATGTGGCTATGTGGATTACAGGTCTAATTGGGAGTCATGGTTAATTGATACCAATTCCTCTTTATCAAAATTTCGGAAACAGCCCTTGAGGATTTAAAGTAGCTAGCTTTGCACAGGGTTCTAGGACTTAAAATAACTATGGGAAGGAGGGTGAGAGAAAAGGGTAATTAATGAAGCTCCATGTAGAGCCTCCCATTTAGCAAGTTTGGCAGTGCAGAAGACAGAATACGAACTTGAGCATTTTCAGTGGGAATGACAAAACAGGAGAAGCGTGTCATCTGTGACAGATGGGAAAAGGTTAATTTAGGAATGAAGCACTAGCAGGGTTACCGATAAGGAGTGTCGTGGGGCAATGATGTGGAAGGGTTTCAAGAGTTCAGAGATGAGACAAGAAATCTGAGGGGAAGATTTGAAGTAAAGTAGTACACCCCATATCCTGGAGTGCTTGGAAATATGTAAGGGACATAAAGACCAGGAATTACTGTTTGGGCTGTTTGCCTTTACCTGAGATACTCCTGGAAACCAGGTTTGAGTATTATTGGTGAATTTGTAAATGTTAGATACATGTCTTATAGAAGTCAGTGAAAATTCCTAGCTACTCTGGTGTTTTTCTTTTAAGTATTGCCCAGATCAGGGGAGAAAACAATGATTCAAATTTATCAAGCAAAGGCCAGAGATGGGAAAAGGGGCGGGGCATCTACCCTCCAGCTAATGGGGAAATCAGATTTACAATGGTGAATTAAATTAAAATTTAAAAGTTGACTTTGGCTTCTCTGAGAGATGTTTTCTTTGGCCTCCTCACAAACTCCTTGTTCTTGGTAAACTGCAGCCCTTTATGACAGAATGCCAGGGTCCGCCAGTTGGAGCATCCATTGTTGAAATGGATGACACTTTTCAGTCTAAAATAATGAACACATGGCAATGCTACTGACATCCGTCTCTCAGAGACTGATCTCCCAGAAGTCTGGAGTAGAAGCATAATTAAGGAGGGGAGAGGTGGGGTGTTGTTGACCTAAGGGTTCAATGTTTCAGTTAGGTCAGTGAAGTAAGTTTGAGAGTCTGCCCTGAGACATGGCTATAGTCATAGCCATATATTGTGCATTTCAAAGAAAACTAGATTTCAAAGGTCTAATCAAAAGAAAGGATAGTTCATGGAGCTTATGGGTATGCTAATTGATTTAGCCAAGCCATCTTGTATCCATATATCAACTTCTACATTATTCCACATAAAACATACAATTGTGAACTGTCAATCAAAAGTAATACTATTGATATATTTTTAAAGTCTTTAGTTACCTTTAAAAGACCTTTTTAAAAAATAGCACATGAGGAAACACACACACACACACACACACACACACACACACACACACATACACACACATTTGCACAGACTTGGGAGCTTAAAGGGAAAATGTATTTCTTCACTCTTCTTTACCATTGCTTGCCAATAGAGAGAATAGAGTATCAATTAAAAGTTTGATTTCATCATGAGAAATCTCCCCTGTCCTCTGCTTTCACATTTATAATCTAGCTCTGATCCCCCCATCAATTTAATGGGGAATTTTCAGAGTCTTGAGAAGTCCTTGGTGTCCAGAGATTGGCACTGAGTCATTGACCCTTATAGCAGATTTAACAAGTGAAAATTAGGAAGGTTTTTTTTTTTTCCATCTTACATATTTTCAAACATAATCTTGGCAGAATGTTTAAGAGAAAGATAAACAAAATGTCAGGGACATTTACAAAGAAACAGTACAACAGAGAGGCAAAGGTGTCAGAGCAGAAATGGATGGCCTTTGTCGGAGGGATGGTGGCCTCAGCTGGAATGATGATGCAGTGGTACTGAGTTTCCTTCATGGAATGATCTCACTTCTGATAGCCTGAAGTGGAAAGGCAGCCTCTCTCCTTCTCTTCTCAGACCCAGGAGGAAAGTCAGAAAGTTGTTTTCCTTAGCTCATGGCTATTTACTCACAGAGAAGCTGTGAGAGTAAGTGGAAGAGTAAATGCCTAGCTTCCCTGATCACCTTCTTCCTTGGGAAGCTTCATGAAAACCTAGTAAGAGTCTGTGTGATGCTGCAGATCTGAGTGTTCAAAGCATCCGCAGATGTTTTCTCTTGGCACAGATGATAAGGATCTAAGATTAAATGTTAACATTTAATAATTAATACTGTTCAGACTCTCGATCCCTTCTGTTGAAAGCTGGCACTGTGGCACAACCGCTGGTGTGCTGGCATTCTGCAACACCCAATGTGCACATTCCCCGACTCTTGAAATATCACATCCGGGAGAAATGTACTTTTAGCTTTTCAGGATGTCATAATTATATTTTTCAAAAACTGGACCAGATGTTAGAATCTGCTCATATACACTTAGTGTCATATTGACACTTAAGAGTTATTGGTATATTTCAGAGATTAATAATTTGTTCTCTTTGATGTTCTTTGGAATATTATCATTTTATTGTTATGTGGAGTTGGGGGATGAAGCCGGGGCTTTGCACACAGGAGGAAAGCTCTCTACCACTGTTCTGTGTGCCGCTGGATCCTCCCAAGATAACAGTGTGAAATTCTCATCTATGAAATGTTAACATTTGGGAAATTTGAGCAAAGAATATCCAAATAGTCTGCATGTGAGTGTGACTTTTTCAGCTTCTCTGTGAATCTGAAATTAGGACATGAAAAACAGTCTTAAAAATTATTCTACATATCCAAACTTGTTCTAAACATTGTTCTAAAATATGCCAAGGGTTGAT